GTCGCAGAGCCACCGCTCTTATAAAGAAAGCACTCCAACCCTTACCAGGTATCGATTTGCCTCTTTGTTAGCTGTAGCCAGAAGGGAAGGGAGTAAAAGTTGACAAGAAGATGCAGAACGAAGCAGTCGAACCCCCCTACGATCGATTTACGACGACTGCTTGTTGGCTTGAATTATGTATCGCTTCCCAATTTAACCCGTTCGCTTTTACATATAGCCAACAGCCAGTCAATGAACCCTACAGACCTGTTCGCCTTCTTTGGGCTATAGTTTGTGTCCTTTACTGCAGTGAGGTATTCGCACTGTCACTGCAGTGGAATTGAAAAATTGGCGAATTTTCTTCGAGGAGATATGGAACCCCGGTTAGTTGAAATTGGCTGCTGCTGGGCTCATGACTGTCGGGCACAGCTGACATGACGGGCGACTAACGGCGACGCACACTTACATTGAGAGACTTCGCGGAGGTAACTTTGATGAAGGCTCCTCGTGTATGCTCAAAGGCTCGCGCTTTTGTCATGGCGGAAAGGGGGACCCGAAAGGCCAAGTGAGCTACAAAGTATGCCGCTTGTTGTGACAGAATACTGCAGATACTTTACTAGACTTCGACTGCTTGGCGCACTGTGTAGTGCTGCTTGTCCGAGCAGAACCTATAATATGGATGCAGACTGAAAGGGGAAGCTAAGCTGGGAGCAACAGGCTAGGTAGACGCACAAGTTACGGGCCTAAGTCAAACGGCAGGGGAAATGAGATGAGATACAATGTACATAAAATACGGTTATGGAAACCAGATGTATGTATTGTAAAAGGCAATAACACTTTTCATATTTAACCGATAGAAGTATACTTGAGGTTTTCCTAAGGATTGAAATATTTAAGTACAATAGTAATGTCGACCCGCGATTTCATCGTTATCATGTTGGTAACATGGTGGTACTGCACAAACCATTATTATTGGATTAGACTAGAAGTGTAAAACACGCCGGTGTGTGACAGCCGCGATAAGATTTATTAGCAAGTATCTTCAACAAAAATGGACGGTGTTCTGCAGTGCATGTGCCTTTCAGAAAGTTTTTCCGACAATTTTTTCCATTACTATTCAAGGCAAGCACTTCCTGGCACATCGATCGGTAGCGACATATTTCAGCAGCTCGAGGGGAGGGTAAATCTCAATCGAAACGAAATATCAATCCTTCGGCAATATACATTACCTAATACTGCGAACGTAACTCGCTTATTTTCATAGGCGTTTCAGTCTTACCAATTACCTTCTACAAAGGGCTATACAACATCGTGGCCATGTATCTTTAGTATGCAACGTTAACTTGAACTTTCTACCTGCTTGACACTCGTTAAAGCGACGACATTGTGTATCCCCAAAAACCGAGCCTCTTTCATCAGGTAGGGACTCACTTGGTACTTGTTTTGTACACAGACACTAAGAACATTTCCTACCAGTGGACAGCAAAACATGACCGTACGGTGTCCAACAGCAACGATGCGCTAAGACAGCAAGGTGAGTTACGGCGCAGAAAGGCAACCTGGTCTAATGCTATCGGCCAGCCAATCGAGATAAAAGTTCTTAACATCTTAGAGTCGGTGACATATTTCTTTTCACTAAGCTATCTGCTAGAGCAAAGCAGTAGCTTAGAGCATAGCTGACGATTATCGAAAACATCGAAGCAGCTCAAAGGATCGAAAGATTACCGTTTTTACTGGTCGAAATATTTCGAGCTCAACGGAACTAATACGAAGAAGAAGTTTGCGATTACCGGCAAACCTCTGTTGTGATCAGCATATAACAAACGGCAAACTTTCGCTAGCCAAAAAGGTGTACTAACATTTTGCGTAGCGGTATACCAACGTACATTTACATAACCATATTAAGCTTTGGTTTTCCTATTTCTTGTATGAGAACTTCTATTTAATGCAAAAGTCTGATAATAGCCACATAGAATTTTATTTCTTTTTCGCTGGAACGACCGTATGTAATGCGCGCACAATACAAGCAACGAACTCGTATTTTTTGCAGTGTCCAGAAAATTTAATAGATGATAAAGACAAATTTAGCAGCGCGTTCGGACGTCAGTTCCATTGCAATAAGGTTCGACCCGCGGCCTACCTATCATACAATATGGTACGACCGTACATCTAATAATATCACCAGTGGTTCAGCCAGCCAAAATAAAGTTCTCTTCTCACAAAATCTTTGCTGTTTACCTTGATATACATATACCATTATAATCTTTCGGAGATCATATCGTTTCTGGTACTAGCAAGTCCTAGAGTAAACCTTGAAAAAAAAAGCATAGTGACAACTTCAGTGGCTCCTCGCGCTCCGTTTCAATTTGCTGTAGAACTCAAGAGGCTTTTAAGCCGCTTGACTAGTTGTTCATGTCGTATTTCCTACGAAACTAACGGGTCCTCGACCATTTCCCAGTCGAATGTTTGAGGACTTCAAACAGCGCGTTGACAGTCTTCAAGCACACCTTAAACGCCGAACCAATTGTCATATGCGGGATACAGAAGAATAGCATATCGCCATTAAACCTCTCAGTACACTCACTTTCAAAGTCGACAAACTAATGACGCCACTCAGGTGCGATATCGTACATTGAAAGCATCCAGTAGATGCAAATGCTGCAGGGACAAGCCTATGTCTAGCAATAATAACTTTTAGAGATCACAATTATGATGTTGCACTTTGAAGGAAATGTATTACAATTAATTAAGAGCTTCTTTAACGCTATTAGTGCATTTCGAAGATCACCAATGGCATCTTGTAGTGTAGATTGCTTAAAGGTTTCATCTATCTTAGTCAGTTTAAGTTTTGTCATTAAATGACTAAGTCACTTGTTTGCACGAACTTGATAAGCCGGTTCGTAATACCGAAAGTTAGCATCAAACATTAAAAAACAATGGGTGTCGAATCGGACGTTTAAGAAGCAATTATAAAGAAGTTCTATTTCGACCCACTCCGTTACCAACAGCTACATAAGCTAAAACCATCACATCAACCATTAAAAAGACTACAATTGGATCTATGGACGATGTCCAGATAGGTAACCCCTCTTCGCGAGACGATTCTCACCGCGAAGAATCATCATGACCTTTATTCTAGCTTCACAGTTCATTTGTCCTTATATATAGTCGAGGCTCCCCTCCGTCATCTCCTATAATTCATTACAATCACGTATGCTGATTTATTAACTAATCCGGAAATAACCTCTGGTACCGAGACAAATCACCCACTCAATTATTCGTATTCAACATACAAGAGCTAAGTTAGATTCGTCAGGTCGATCGATGCCGACCGCAAATCATGATTGCCGAACCGCCACGGCAAGATGCACAGCAGTAGCAAACAATTTCTCCCAAATCGAATTAGTAAACATTCCTAGCACACACACAACCGCCCCCTCAAAAGGGCGCTTAGCCAAGGACCACCCATTTCTCTTTTTCTCATGTCTCAATGCTGGGATTGTTTCCTCGATCAAGGAACAAGCCAGTATACAGGCTGATCATACGTAACAAGATGGCCTCATATGTCCTAAGCAAGTAGGCAGCGCTAACCTCGTAGAGCGGTATTCGTTTGTCGTCGATCGAGCATCGTGTCACTCCAAAGCAAAAGAATCACTTATATCTTTTTGCGTGAAAAACGGAGTCCACGGGTAACTCGGTCTCTATTGATGGCCTTCACCAAATCGCGAAGACGAGCGCAATTGGGACACATGCAAAGATTGGCATAGCTGCGCTTCTTCTCTTGACGGTTAGAAGCAGTGGAAACGAATCAGAGCGTTTTAGAACATCGGCTGGTCGGGGACAGCGCAACGATAAAGAGGGTGGCGAAGCACGTGTCACAGTTCTTGACTGGCACAAGCGCGAGGTGCTGGCTGTGATCGTCACTTCATTCATTAGGTAGGAAGCGTTTAGAAAACTCATTCGGAGGAGCACGAATTCGGCAGAATCAAATGTCAACACTTTGTCTGAAGGAAGGATGCTCTCAAGCGATGCTTCAGCTGATACTGGCGTTGTTGATACTCGCACCGTTGATGATGATGACAACTGTGATAAGCGAGGTGTTTCCTGAAGGGATGACCGTTAACTTGTCAAAAACATTCACTATTGCTATTGCTCCAGTGTGTTAACTGAGCGAACGGCAACTTTGCTGTTTGTCAGAGAAAAAACTTTGTAATGCAAGTAGATCAAGATGCTTTACAGTGTATTATAGGACATGTATAATGTGCAAGTCGGCAGGACTCGTTTGTCATCTTTTTTGATTTGTCTTGAAAGGCACCGTTTTTGATGGCTCGGATGGGTGAGCTTGTGTCTTTACTGTTCTGAGCACGGTTAAACTATGAGACACAGATAAAGATTATAATGAGATGCCCGTAAAAACCTGAAGTAGACAAAGAAATGCGTTGTAAGCAATAAGAAATTAGAGGAAAGAAATGCTCGGAGAACCATTGATTAAAATAAACTAACTGTTACAGGTCAAGCGTTCTGAGGATTTACAATAATAGGCCGTCAGGGAGATTTTAAATTGGTACCTATATTCGCGATTGGCTAGAGCAACACAGAGTCACCTACTGTACAGTCAGCATAGATCAATTTTTTTTTTACAAAAGATATATCTATATCTTCGTATTTTAGGGAAAAAGTTTGTAGGTGTCACGGGAATCCTATTTGGTTTTTAAAATAGAGCAAAATGATGACCGTTTGATTTCGCAAGACTGTCAAAGTAGAAGCGCACAAGCTAGTTTAACTATAGGCACTCCCATAAAATACGTTAAACAATTTTCATGTGGTACTAAATCCATGTCATTCTAGCGTTTTATACCTTTTTCCATTATACACTTTTTTACATGTATAAAATTATGACGAACAGCGCTATGGTGAATGAGTTTTTCAATTATTGACCGAATACATTTATGACACTTAAGCGTGCATAATAGTAACTTTATTCAATAAACGAAATACATCGTATTCATAAAACATGGCATTCTTCATTGTTGTGTTACTGTTCAATATGTTTTTCGTTTTATATGCTCCAACAATCAGTAGAATTCTCCTGACATCTTCATCTCATCTTGTTATTTTATGTCATCTTTGCATTCACCTTTAGTCTGCTGTGGTGGCCAGCGCACTCTTGTCTATGTATGTATGCAGTTCTATACGTAGATTTTTGCAGTCTTCACTGTCCACTCGTAGAAGCGGATTGGTCAATGCGATGAAGGTACGTGTGTCTCTCATACAAAGGCGGTTTGTCCTTGCGCGTAGAGTGGGTTCGACTGCATTCACCTATTCACACTTGGCCGGTCACCCACCTATTGGTATTGCCTCGTGCCTCTTGCATCACCGATGTTGTGTCGGTTAGCTTGGTTCTCCTTTGTTCTCCGCAAGTGGCGGGGTAGACGGGGTATGGCAAGTGTTCGGTGCGGTTCCTCTAAATCGTATGACGTAGAGGGTACATGTTAATATTGGTTTTTTGGGAGTCGGAATAACAACTGGAATGAAGACAAGTTGTGTTGACATCTAAAATGTCATTAAACTCATTTTCAGTAGATATTGTGACGCACTTTCTTTATTGATATCATACATAATAATGGAATAAATATAGGTTTCTCATAAGCTTGTTACTAATTTATTATTTAGAAGTTATTTTAGGTCATTATGGTAATTCTCTTCGGGTTTCATTCGGGTTCTAAAAATCTGCAAGGGTCTACCTAACAAGTTTCTTGTAGAACCTGCCTACTCTGGACTGTCATCTACAGAAGCAGATGATAAGCAAACCAAAGTGGGAGGGACCTGCAATGGCAAGACAATTACAAGGACGCCAACGAGGACGCATGGCTTATTTGCGTAAGCAACGAACAGGCGAACACGAACAGGAAACAGCACAATTACTGTTTCCATGGTCAGAGTAACTAACACGAACAAAAGCAGCACCGTAAAGATTGTCCAGCACGACCACTGGACACTATGAGCCAACGTTCGAACAACTGCAGCTTATGCTATAGCATATAAAAAGTAAAATGATGCTGACAAATCATATCTCGCTCCTTCAAGGGTACATTAAGGAATAAGCTGAAAACACAATGTATATGGTAGGAAGGATCCCAACTAACGTAACGCACGCTTAAAAATAAACTATATGTTTTTGCATCCACTGCTTTGAATTTGTAGGTGAAAATAAATGATAAAGTTACTTAACTAGATTTATTTCCTAATGTAATAATCAAAAAAAAAGCTATTTACATCTTTGGCAAGAAATTGCGTTCTAATGCGATTATGCCTCATAATCTGGTTTGTGACAGTCAATTAAGATGTTAACATGTATAGCACTGTGTCCTCGGTCTAGATTTTAGCAACGTGGTAGTGCTAATGTGTTCGACTACTAAACTTGAACGCGCGTAACGTGGCCTAGGCTTCAAATTGACTGCAAACATATTGCTTTTGTATTTGGGGCAAGCCTTCTGAATCAATGTTTTATTAAAGTAGCATTGGACGTAAAAATTAAAACACTTACATTTCACACCCCAACAGTAACAGTTAAATTGAAACATAATTAATTCATTATTATTCTATAAATTAAAAGGTTTACAAAAATCCTTTGGATATCATATGTTTATTTTTCCGCTTAGAACCTTCTGGTTGTGTACACGGTAATTTTTACATTATTGGAATTATTGACTGTATGACACAACAGCATCATCCAGTGCATTCGTTGTCTGTTTTTACACAACAGTTGAACAACTGAGTTGTCTTTATCGCTAGTTTATTTTTCAGATATATCTTCTTGCGTTACGGCATCATTCTCCAAATGTTTTGGCTGGTCCTCCTGAGCGTTATCCTCATCATCGTTAGTGTTCTTCGATAATTTACATCGTTTCGCTGATGGTTCTTCAGGTTGTTCCTCGGCGGCTTCGGCCTCTACGCTCGTCCCTGCTGGTTCCCCTTCGAGTTGCTTCTCAGCCTACAATTAATTTCATCACAAAGAAGAATTATGTACTTAGGTGTAGAAATACAACAATCGCCCAAACTTTGGCTCGGAATAGTGGCAGGATATCTACAGATAAGCCCACACCACTCAGGGACTGTCGAGCCCATATGAAATACTACTGAGGGAATAATTGACAGGCGAATTACGCTGCCTATAATTAGTCTCACTCTCGACTTAGAATGCATGAAAAATAATTCCTTACCAGTAGTTTTTAACAGAATGCGCCGCTGCTTTGCATAGCGGTGACCACAGCGCCAGTTGCATTTTGGATCTGAATCTACTACTATTAATAATAACATTGAATTTCGTATAGCAAATACGTGTAACCTGGTCAGGTTTCACTGTTAAATAAAAAAGCAATTTCTGTAGGCACACATAAGAAGAAAGTGCTAGCCTTTATGTCATATTTGGTCAGTGGAGAAAATGTAGGCAACACTCACCAGTCGAATTATTTCAAAAGTTTTCGCCATCCCCTTGATGTGCCGTTCATGCATTTCACCAGCTTTCTCGGCGTACAACTCAAATACGATTTGAGCCATGGCAGGCATATTTTCAACGGCATAGCTAGCTACTTTATCCGCCGCTTTCCTTTTTGTAGGAAACAACTCATCCCGAACGAGGTGAAGTTTCTGCGGTCTTTTGAGCAGAATGTCGAACGACTTCTTGAGCTCAAAACAGCTGCGAAATAGCGACACTCTACCGAAAATATAGAGGCCAAGTCGCGCTCGCGAAAGCGCTACAACCAATCTGCGGACATCTCGAATGTGACCGATATTCTTTGTTCTGACCAGCGACAAAATTATATAGTCATTCTGCTGGCCCTGGTACTTGTCAACAGTAGTAATCTTATGAGGTTTTCCAATAAGTGGATTGTTGCCACAGCGTTGCTCAATTACGTCGCGTAACAGATGTTTTTGTCCATTGTATGTGGTTAGTATTGATATTTTGTCAGCCGGATAGCCCAAGATTCTCATATACATGAAGAGTGCAGCACAATACTCGGCTTCAGCGAGATTCTGATAGAAGTATGGATTCGGCTCGCTCTCACCAATTCCGTCAAAGTCCTCAACATTGATCAGCTGAAAGTCGAACGCGAGACCTGCGTTGGCAGTTTGATATTCAGGCCGTTCAAAAACGTGCGGCAGGTTACCTAAGTTGACGTAGCGCCAGTTGTATAGCGAGCACAGTGATGGCCTTGATCTGCCCTGACCATCGAGTTGGACGACTGGTACCCCCAAACGGACAAATCGGGTAAACAATGATTGTTCCATGTTCGAGTATTTTTGGAACGCCATGTTTTTAATGACAGGTGGCAGTTGGTGATGGTCCCCAATCATAATCCATCGTTTTAGGCGGTTGTAACCGTCTTGTGGATTCTGGAGCAACAGTGGAATGAACGTTTCGATCTCGAGAATTTGGGCGCTTTCTTCCATAAGGATGTTATCGTACTTGAAGCCCAACCTCACCAGTTCATGCCGTTTGAGAGCAGCGTGCGTGCAGGTCATGGCAATGATTTTTGCCTCTTTGACGAGCAAATACCGGGAACGATCCAGCCCGCTTCGCATCATTTCGAACGAGCGAAACTCTTCCAGCTGGCTGAACATGTCCTGAACGTAATAGAAACACTTTGTAGCGATATCCATGTCGGCTTCATAATTTTTCCCGTGGAACAGCGGATGGAGCGACTGGAAGAACCTTGCAAATGGGAAGTGTTCCTCGATTACCGCAGGATCTTCATTGTTGTGACGGAGTTTGTCCAAAAATTCCTCCCATCGGGCAAGAACCTAAGCATTTTGAAAATCAGCACATGAGGCAATTGTAAAGAATAATAGGTAGACTAGATTTTATTAGAATCTCGGATAGCTCTAATACTTCCAACAAGTCACGTCGCTATGGTACAGATGGTGTATAGCGCTAATTCATAGGACGGTTTGTCAACTGTAATATAAACGTCAATTTTTTGAAAGCGCTAAAATCTCGCTGTACAGTAAGGCTTACGTGATGAAGATAAAAATAGGCAGCTGTCTCGCAAGTGTATGCCACGTCCCCGGTTACGCCCAGGCTTTGCTGTAACTGTCCAACCTGCGAAAGTAGATAGAGTCTTCGGGCCAACACATAATTCACTCGACCGTAACGTGAAAAGTCCTTTTCGGTTTCAAGTTGCTCTTCACCTAAAATAGAGAGACGAAAAGGTTTAATATCTTTTCCCACTCTTTGCTCGTAATTTTTTTTAAACTTTTTTGTAACATCCATGTGAAAAACAATCAGCAGCTGCCATTAGCTTACACATTTAGAACATGTTTTCTCAAATCGTTATATCTTTAAACCTTCGGTTCGAGTTATATGGTTGGACATGTGCCTCTCGTACGATTTAGGCTTATTGACAAGTAAAAAATAGAAAAAACTAAAAATATTCACCATCATATAACGAGTGTGTATAATCGAGATTTTTAATATTCAGCTTACCGTGACCCAATCGAAGCAAATGTCGCTCATCAATGTCAAGTGCCATAATTTTCTCAAAGAGTTGATTAAGGGCCTGATTTGAATGCGTAACGATGAGCGTGCGCTGATCGGGAAAATTGTGGTAAATGTTAGAGATGATCTGGACTGCTACGTCCGTCTTGCCTGTTCCTGGAGGACCTACCACCATTGTAAGACCTAACACCGTACAAGGGTTAGGTTACAAGAATATGTGAGTGCATAAATAAAAAAGTTACAAGACACCAAACAAATTTGTTAGTCACAGATTATATTATACTGGTTGCCTTATAATGGTGAATATAGATTCCACTTTTAACTTGGGACAACTTCGTAAAGCAAGAAAAAGCTCTCTCGAGTCTACCATAGTACGAACAGATTTTGTTTATCTAAGTTCTATATGATTCCATAACCTCCATTCCTGCACAATACTCACCAACGTCAATATATCGCACGATGGACCATTGGCCGGCAATCGTGATTCTTATACAAGTTCTGTTCATTTTTTTTAAATAAGGGCAACCTATATATTGCATTATGTCTAAAACTCACTGTTATGCGCATGAGGTTTATTTCGTGTCGTAACGTACCTGGTTGCATGCCGGATTTAATGGCCTCAATCTGCGTTGGGGTGAACGGGACCGTGTTGGCCTTAGGTTGTTTCATAAAAAACGGATTACGCGTTTCGACCTGATATGGTGTAACCAATAACTTGTTAGGCCCTGCAGGCTTTTGTCTCGCCTTGATGTTACAAAATTCGATCTTGAACGGTCGCTCAAGAGGTAGCCCTTCGGGATTGTAAATCTCGATTTCGTACTCAGGAAATGATGCCTCCACGTGGCCAATATTTAGGAATGTGTCATTCCAGTTCATTGTACGAATCTGCGAAGGCATTTTCGAGTAGTGGGCCGAACCTGGGTCGCCGTAACCAAGTATGATGTCCTGAAGCCAATTCGGCACCACAAAATCTGTGTTCATCAATTCACGAATCGTTTCTAGAACGGCCTTGAAATTATTCTCCTTTGGTTTTCTTCGCAGAAGAATATTATAGCTTTGATTAACATCGTCACCTCCCGCCGAGAGCTTCTCTATGTCCTCCCTATATTGATTACAGTCTAACAGCACTCGGAATGTCCTATCATCTGTGTCGTACTGTGGGACCTGCTCAAAATCTTCGATGACTTTACCGGTAGGATCAAGTAAACCCTCAATTTCGCAACCACGAACGTAGGTGAGGCCTACTTGAGGAACGAAAGGCTCTTTGTGGTCAAAAGGCGAGCCAGGAAGTCTCGTTGGTCGCACTGTGATTAAAAACATAACATCGTGCCTGCGTAAAGATTCCCACTCCGTTTTGACGTCTCGTTTCAAATTCAAATGCACAGTGATATCGGCACGAACAAGGCTCGGTCGTTTTTCTCCAAGTCGTGGTTCGCCTATCTCAAGAATGTTAAAGTTTGTTACAGGCGTTGCCATGCGCGACCAGCCACCAAAGATTACCCCGCCATCTTCGGCTGCCCAAGGTTTCATTCTCAAAATAGCATCTTCAATGTTCTGCCTAATTTCGTATGTGGACTCAAGTCGAAATAGCTGAAAATTTCTTAGCAAGTAGTCGTGCAAAGTGAGAAACTGAAGATTGAGTTTGGGTAAAGCAAGGCAGCCTTCACCGTTGAAGTAGGCGGAAGGTACAACGTTCTCATCCCAAATAACGTTCTCCGTTGGATACAGGGGCATCTCGTTGAGCGTCTCCAGTTGAGATTGACGCCGCTCGTTTCTTGTAATAAGCAGTTCAATAAGGAACTCTTTATTGAACGGAGACTCCTTTCCTTCGTCCAGGGGTTCGACGAGTTGAAGGAACGCGGCAATCGGATGCAACTCGTTGGCGCTGAGGCCGCCAATGTGTTCAAGAAGAGATTCGCGTCGATCAACGTTTGCTACATTACATAACGCGAATCTATTCAGTTCAGGGAAAAAACTGAACGCCGCCTTTTGAAGTTGGTCGATTTTTGCATAATGCAACGCCGTCATATCCTTATCTCGCAAAGCCTCTCCAGTTGCATCATCGATTTCGAATCTTGCATAAAATTTTAGCATGTCAAGAAGCTGAACAAAAAGCCGACCTTCATGACGCTTGGCAAGATTCGACAAAGAGCATCGTACAACAACGTGAGCGTCATCCAGTACTACGTTGAAAAAACGCCGAATGGGCAATAGAGCCTCCAAGTCCACCATAAGCTCGATGAAACGCTCACAGTATGTTACAATTTCCAACGTCGATTGTTCCAATTCGGATGCCTAACAACCAGACAATTCAGCAATGTTAAAAATGACTCAAAACTAACGAAATTCTTATATATATAAGTATATATAAGTAATTTGAGTTCTTGATTGGCATGCTTGCAAATATGAAAAAAATATTAATCGGAATAAGATAAAAATACAACAAGAATTTGTGTTTTTTACCTCATCTTTTGACGGAATAGAATCAAGAAGTTTGAAGAAACGTGCTATAAGTTTTTTGAAATAGGCCCGATCTAAATGAATCTGTTTGAGTTCTTCCTCACTCATACTTTTGTCAAGTCGTACGTAATGGGCCCAGTATCTTTTGAGTGAAGGATTTTTCTTCATTTCAGCTTCGCGCCTTTCTGGAAGAATTTCATTCCACATCCGAAGCGAAACTATTTTCTGGATTTCCTTGCGAATGAGTTCAACCTAACAGCAAAAAGTTACTGAGTTACTGTTTTGTATTTCCCATAATAAAGCAAAACATTTTTTTTCCAGAATTCTTTGATTAATATTTCTGTACCATTTGCCATCATACTAAGGTACCCAAGCTGCAAATATAGTGAAGTCCTTCATGCTTATCTATGGAGTACATGTACATTAGTATTAAGTAAAATAATCAAGCAAAAAAAAGCAAGGTAAAACATATTCAATTCTCTCTGACGATATTCCTGTTAAAAACATACAACATGAAAAGAAAATTGCTGTATAACATTATTCCTCTATCTTTTCCAAGGCTCAGATCTAGTTGCGCCTATATAAGAAGTGCTTTAAACTTGACTTCGCACTTACTTACCTCGACTGAGTTGAAACAATGAATCAGGAAGATTAACAGGCTTGTATGTTCTTTGCTGCTAAATTCGAATCTCTCATCGAGCGTAGCTTGCATAACGCGTCGAAAGAAGCCAGGGAACTGTGCAGGGTTTTCAAGAAACGCCCGCCATGCAGGAATTCGCTCACGAAACTTTTCGTTCACCATAACTACAATTGATATCAAATGGCCCCGGGTTGAGGTTTTCGCGTTGAAATTCGGCCACAGAAAATTCTCAAGGAACTGCGAGAATTCGAGCGCTTGTTTGCTACCGGCATTGTTTAATTCGTTTTCGTAGATGCGTTCCACTGTGGCCGTATCGAACTGATCACGGTTCTGCCAAAGTTTTGCTGCATTTTCCACAATACCAATTACCGGTGGAGGCGGATTTGCCTTTACCAGCGCCATTTCGAGGCTTCTCAAATACTTTCACTCTAGCTGAGGAGCGACTCTGTCAATCCTGGGGGTTCCGCACTTAATTGGAGAGGTCTCGATACAAAATCAGAGTTTCATGCATCCATCTCACCCCCTTTATGTGAGCTTCATGCGTCGCCAGCGCTTCGAGTACTTTAAGACGCAGCTGGCCGTGCTTATCTTGCCATAAAAAGCGCTTTCTTTTTCTTTTTGGATACATACACCTCCTCCACACAAAACACGTTTCATTCTCTGTGTATTTCTCTCGGTGCTTTTACTAGGTTTCTCGCAGTTGTTGTTATTATTATTATTTACACTTTTAGCGCCGCTGCGTTGATGTGGCGAGGGTATGGGCAGTCGGAACAACGTCGGTGGCAGCAGCATGCACTCACCATGACTGCGCTTATTGAGCAGACGACGTTCTCTTTCCCAAAACGCCGTCGATTAGCGGTAATATACGCAGCCTTTACCGAGCAATATCAACCTCCTCTTAGCTATTGTGGCCTGTCTAGCTTAGTGAGCACCCTGCCCTGGTATAAGCGCCACTACTGCTGCTAGCGGTAGTGGTACACGGTAAAGCTACGCAAAACGGCGAACTCGCCTTCCAGTTATTCCTTCTGCTACTGTTGCTTGCTGTTAGCGAGGGGCGCACAGCCAAGCCACAAGCATATAAACGCAACTCTACTCGGAATGACGAGTCATTGAAGCAGCAGGAAGAAAAGGCAGCTTAAGGAGCCGGAAATCGACGAGTTAAGCTGTTGTCATAACCTGCCTATACCCATAGCTATACCGGACTGCTGTTGTTGCTGTTGTTTCACCTCGATTTGGTGTCCAGACGCTTCAAGAAGCAACAAATAGAGCGAATAAGGTTTACATCGAAGGGCTGCTACGCTACCTGAATCTGACGTGGAGCGCCAGCATCGGAAAAGCAGTAGCTCGCTCCGCTGCTGCAGGGAAAGCAACACCTGTCAGCTGACATTTCACAGGGAAGTGCTTCTTCGTTAACGGGCAAGCGCAGCCACTGACCGTCAGATTGTCAGCCCTTGAAACGGAATTCTGCGATGCCAATCTGTGTAAGACTGTGTTTTACGGTTGATGGTTTTACCAGTTGCTTGAAGGTATTGCGAGGGATATCGCCGAGTGTCAATCCTGTGTTACCGATCTATTTGTTGTTTCATATATGAGAGTGCTACGTGGTACCTTTTTGAGGTAATTGATGATCTACTAAACTTGTGGGTGTGTGTATGTGTGTGCGTGTGTACTGTACTATGTCATGCGCTGCAGCGTGAACGGGCCCCTGACATAAAAGAGTGAAAGACGGCGATAGACGAATAAAATCGCCACAGACAAGTTATAATCTTCTAGTAACTGGAAAAAGGACACGGCTTCAGTCGGCATTATTGCATTACGCCTGTGGTCGAGATGGGTATCGGATGGATCCTCAAATGCATCTCAGGCCCACGCCTTTACAGAATTTACAAAACAAATACCTCACAGGTTTGTATTAATAGCAGCAGTATGCAGGAAACATTTAGCAGTTTTCAAACGGTTTATGGTGTAAATCCTTTTAATTCGTGCGAAAAAAGACAATATGTCGTCCACGTGATAAGCGGTTGGACGAAAAAGTAAGGCGTGACAAAACAGAATTCATTTTAAATCTAAAATCTTGACATGGTTCTTCTCGGCCTGTCGATCAGTTCCTCCCAAAATTTCACTCTTTTATCATGGAACTTTTAATGGTGTAGGAGACAGATAACCTTCCAGAATTCATCTCAGACAACGCGTCATAATGGCATTGCGCGTATTAACGTCGGCAAGCTGACTAAACGCCTAGGCCAATTTCCTTCGCACAACCGAAAGCTTCCTCTAAAGTTTTCCAAAAATCAAAAAATTGTTTCAATGATTAGCCACGGGCTGTTGCCTCCAGAGTGAGTGTCTTGATACAAACACCATCCTTGTTACGCGATATACAAAGAGTGGTTTTCCGATCGAACTGACAATTTGCTTAACGCATTAAAGCAAAACTTTGCGTAAAACATGTCATGTCAGATTTACGTATCTTTGTTGCTATCATAATCTTAACGTAGCGTACAAAGGTAGTACTTAGCTAATTATGAACTTACATTATGTAAGCCAAAATATATCACCGTACCCGACGGGTTCAAGTTAAACTTATTAAAATTTTATTTAATCATTACAATTACGTTTTTTTTTTTTATTTCAGGGGAAACTGTACGAACCGAATTGCTTAGAGGCGTACTCGGACAACATCATCCGTTCTCTGGGATACGCCGTGAGTGCTTTATGTTATAATACGTATGATAACAATAAATTAAGCATACGTATAAGCCACGTGTAAGTGTGGTCATCTAGGTGGTTAAAATCGATTCCCTGGCAAGTCAGCTGAGTCGGTGACGTAACAGGTGGAAACTACGTTTCCTAAAGTCAAAAACTAACATCGATACATGTGTTATCTATGTGTGGTAAACGAAGCACTTATGTTTATTTCGTATGGCGGTGCCTTGTTCTCTCTTCTTCCTTACCGGATACAACGATAAGTAGCTTAATAAGCGGTAATTTCGGCGTCCGAATAAAGAGACGCTGTTTCTTATACAATTTCTGTCTATTAGCTATCAGACCTCACGCTGATGTGATACTCCACTCCATTGTTTCTTATCTGCTTTGAAGTGCTTGCCAACACACTAACGGGGATGCATCGCCGCTTCTTAATCCACAGTTCATCATTTGAAATTGACAAATCAATTTGTTTCGTTAAAATGATGAATGATATCGGCATGAAATTCTATTTCGAGTTAGTCTCTGCTTATCTGTATTTTCTAGAAACACAAATGCTGAAAAGTACGTTGACCTTTACTATATGTAGTCAAATAGCAATGAACATTAAACAAATTCCAGCTTTTTGAGTTAAACTTGTGCTTGAGGATGAACTAAGCTCATCCTTTACTACAATATCGATAACTGCAATTAGCTACTCAAATCCCTGTAGCTGTGTAGAACGTTACTGTGGACGATGTTATGCGGGTGCTATTACTCGTCTACTTCTGACATGCTATCCAGATATCGATACAGATGATTGGGATCTTGATTGATTCTTTTGGTAGTGTAGAAGTTGTGCGTTGTTTGCCGTTAATCTTGTTATCTCTCGCACTTCCTCCAAGAGCACTTAAAGGCGTGTCAATGCTTTTTGGAGCGGTTGGAGTAATTATTTCCAAAGGTATCCTGCTTTTCAAAGGTTATCATTTCTTTTGACTAATTGATGCGCATCTTTTAGAAATACGTGATTTCTAGAAGTAGATGAAAGACAGATTGAAATAGCCAATACTATCTATCCTAATGGAATTATGGACTTTTCTATCAAAAACAATGTTTAGCAATTAAGGTCTTCTTTCTTTGAATTAAGAGATCATTGCCATGTTAACCTCCTCTTGTATTAAAAAAAACATGTGGAAATTGGCGGAAAATTTTTGATTCAAGGCCTAGTTGGGAGATTGAACGACTTAACATGAAATGGCTAAGGTAAATAAGAGGCTACATAATGACTAATGATATGATGTTGTAAACAGTTTTTATTTTTTTTTTCAAACAAAGGGATCCTTATCGTACCTGCACTCGGCATAGAGGTCTATTACAAGAACTGCTTCAAGAGATACATTCTATGCGACACATGAACGTCAAGCTATACAAACATTTCCGTTTTCTTGCATATAGAAACTTTTTTTTGTTACTCGTTTTTTATACCTACCAGCTGTGGTTAACATTAATGCTCGAAATTAAATTGATCTTAATAGCCAGCACTGAGTATATCCCACGTATAGCTACGAACAACTTAGTGAGCACAGCGACAGACCAGGTATGACAATCAAGCCACGGTGGCTTCATCAGCCGAATGACTCTCACTAGTTATGTGCATACCCCGATGCCTAAAGTCGCGCATGAAACCGCTACGTGTTAAAATTGTTTTTGCCTTTTGAATTACATAATAACTTATCTAAATCGGTATTCGAAATTCTTTGCCTCGGCATCTGTCTTGCTTCGACATATGCAAAACAAAGTAAAACTTCTTCGAATTTTTTCCACGCCTTCAGTTAGCTTTGTCATAATTTGCTTGTAGCTTGAAGTAATGTTTTCTATCTATCGACGAATCTACGCACATATTGGACGGAAGTACACATTTTATTGAAGCAAGGGTAATAGAGATCTTTTTCTATGAACACAAAAACGATATGTATATGTCGTGGCACCAATTCAAACGATTGTTTAAAATACATCAATAAACACTTAAATCACCCTAAGTTTCTGACACATACCTCGACCGTCTTTTTTCAATGCTATAAACTGTCTATCTAAAGTGCATCGTTACAAATAATAAAACTATGAGCATTGTTCGGGAATAGGTCAGTGAAGCTTTTTGGTAGGTCACGATTTTGATTCAAGCTAATTCGGTACATCCTAACTAGAAACGTTGCCTCAGCGCAATCATATTAATCATATGTAAGTTAAGTGTTACATTACAGCCTACATCTAAGTTTCGCTACGTAGTCACGCAATCGATAAGTTATTTTATTCCGTATGTATTCATGATTTACTTAGGCACTGCACGTAGATATTACAACCGGATCGATACCATAAGAATAAGCTTGCATGTTTCAGCTCATATACTTATGGATATTTAAGCGTAAAAGCGATTTTTTTCTGTGACGTTTCAGCTTTCGTTTGCGTGGTCGTTAGCCGCATTCACATCTCCAGTGATTGCATACGTCCTATATCGTCGGGGATTCTGCACTCTTGAAGGATTTTACTACCTGTCGAGGTACAGTAAAATAAACGACCAACAAATATTCTTTATTGACACGAATTATTATTTGACGTAAAGCGTTTGAAAAATTCACTTACAGCGTATCCACGTCAGTCTACTCAGATTTTCCGCCGGTCTATAATCATACCAAGAGTAGTTTATAGGTTTTATGTGTAAGAATGTTTCTAACTTAAGTTTTTGGTGAAAACGCGTAGCTTCTTTAGTGAAGCTTTATCTTATCTGCAATTTATACAGATATATCTGCGCCTAGAAAATAACAATTATTACAAATGCGTGCATTTAAAGCGCGTAATATAAATTAGAAATAGTGTAATTCCTAGTTAATTAGAACACACTGTAAATTAGAATACACTGTAAATGTGTATTGCAGCAGCAGTGTAAATATTTTTCTTTCGAATATGTAAATCCTACCTACAGGAGCGCGGGCCCGCTAAAGAAAGTGTTATTATCCAGACTGCGCCATGTTATTGAGTACGGTTGGTTTTTGCTGATGTTTATAATGTAACGCAGGTTGGCATCGGTTGTTGTAGTGGTGTGGGTGGGAACGCTGTGTCTTCGGGGGATGGGTCGCTGTGCAAATCGCGATTACCTAAAATTTATCGCAGCGCTCGATGAGGCTCAAAAAAATAGGGCGGCTTTATGTGCTTTTGACGGAGACTTCGACGCTTGGCCTGTTGACTTCAGTTGGAACGACGTCGAAAGGTGCGTGTGTATTCATATGTGTATGAAATCGAATATATAAAAAATATTAGCTTTCTTTACATTAATATTTCTTATAGATAAGCATATCGATGCAGTATGTATATGATAAAAAGGATATATATGTATATGCTTCCTATTCCGATACACTAAGTAGTTGCCGTATTATTATGGTTGCTATTAGGATTATTTCGATGAGAAAACTGGTTATTTATTTGTAAAGCAACAATGGTAAATTCAGGAACATTGTTTTATACCTAAAATGTATCAGTAACTTTGTCTCAGGGTTTTTGTTTACATATTTTACGTACGTATTCTATTATTGAACATATACTGATCGATTGCTTTTATGACACTACACATTCAAGTACGTTTAATCGCAAGACCGTGTCGAAGGGTGTAAATTACAATAATCGACTGATAATATACATTCGCATATTGAGCTCAGATGCTACACTACTTTTTTTTTTTATTTGTTCCGTTAGAAAAATAGTTTAGATATATAGTAATAGCATCAGTCATAAAAACATAGTATTTCATTTATAGCCAGCGATTACTTGCCTTGTTAGTTATTTGTCCTTTATTTTTATGTACTGAAGCGCATTGCATAACGGAGTTTTGTTTAGGGAGACTTGTCCGATTCTGAATGACCTTTAATGCAAGAGCCAAAGTTTCAGTCAAATACAAAAGTACTTCACAGATATTACTGCCAGATTGTATTACTTATCTGAATAGGCAAATTGGGTAAATTGATTGGTAAATTCAGAAAATTTGGTGACATACGATAATCAAGTGTCTAACATCTAGCTGATCTATCATGTAGATTTTTCGATTTAGCTATAGGCATGCCGAAGGTTGTAAAATAATACTAAACTATACTCTTTACACGAAACCCTGCGCTATACGTATACGAAAAATTTGACGCGCACGTCAATCTGTGTGTCGGCTTTTCAACTGCTATTGTTAACATTGATTTCAGCTCAAAGGACAAACCCCGCGTGGTTGTAGCTCCGAGATCCCGTTCTAATTCGGGCGTTTTCTTGGTCCTTGTACGTGACCTGCCGTTACGTTTCGTCGGTTACCTGTGTATTCATTCTTTTGGTCGACACATGATGTACCCCGGGGCCGTCAAACTTTTCCAGGCAGCCATTGGGCCAATGTTGCTTGAGGGACGTGCTAAGCTTATGGAGCAGGTATATACAAGGTGCACCTTGACCCATCAAGTAAATCAATGTCAAATAGTTAAGAAGAGATAAAAGCACTTCCGTTTCTTTGATAAATCGCTGTTTAGAGTAATTCTGGCAATTTTAACTAACAAGATTCTAAGTTGCAGATTACTACCAGTGTGTATAATGAGAAGTCAAGATCGATGCGTGCAAAAATATAAGCTTCGACTCATTACTTCAAGTAACAAACCCTCTCGACATGAGAAAACTTATTGCTAATTGCCGGGCTTTGTTTATGTAGCATCAGGCAAGAAGATACAAGCTGGCCACAAGGGATGGGAATTTCATTGATACAGTATTCGTAGATCGACGCGGAGCGAACGAGGCACCACAAGGCCGAACTTTGGTTGTGTGTTGCGAAGGTAACGCAGGATTCTACGAGGTGGGTATCACAGCGACGCCTATCGACGCACAGTACTCCGTCCTCGGCTGGAATCATCCAGGATTCGCTGGCAGCACGGTGAGTAGTATTTACGTAGATGAATTCGATAAGCTTTTACCATTTCGCTCAGTGACTGGTTCCTACAACCGCCATCACTGCATATGCAACAGCAATACGTATACAATAGTTGCAGCAATAACAATTAGCACATGTTTCAAAACGTTACATTTTACTGTCTAAACGTATTAGATCATGGTTTTAAATGGCCTTCGCAATACATTAGGACTCACGTTCTGTTTACAGTCTATACAATTCGTTGATTATGCACATGTTCTGAATATTTCCAAGTTTCACATTTAGTAATGCTCTTAAACATTGCTTTAGACGACTAGCCTTTTCCAGCAGAAGAACTGTACACGTATTATCTATATAATAAGAACGATATTTTATCAGTGAATTCTCGAGTGCAAAGCCGCGTCGATTTGCATGTACCCAGTGTGTATTAAATTAAAACCTGAGGCCTCCTGGTTTCAAGTACCGAGCGCTACCGCCTACTTCATCCGTTGTAGTACTGTTGTTGTCAGAGTAACACGAAACATATCTCTAGACCACTTACCAAGTTATCCAAATTTTATGACGTAATAAATAAGGCTCGTTTGTAGTTATCGTCGAGATGTTCGTTACGGTCTATAATTTACAGGGGCTACCGTTTCCTGCACAGGAACAGAATGCAATAGATGTGGTTATGCAGTTTGCTATCTATCGCCTGGGATTCACACCAGATAATATCATTTTGTACGCTTGGTCTATAGGAGCATACACTGCTTCTTGGTGCGCCATGAACTACCCTGAAATCAAAGGTATTCACTGACATCTTTTTATGTTACGATCAACAAATAAACATACTAATTTACGAAGAACAAGCGTAGTGGTAAGTATTCAACTTCTCCCAAATTTTATAACTTTTAAGTCGTTTTAATCTGTAAACAATCAGGTTTGATTCTCGACGCAACGTTCGATGACGTTGTTCCCCTGGCTGCCTCGAAGATGCCAGGCTCGATTGGACCGATAGTGGTCCGCACCGTAGCCGACTACTTTAACTTGAACAACGCCGAGCAAACAAATCGATATTCAGGACCTATCCTTATGTATAGACGAACCAACGACGAAATCATCTCAACGGTAAGTAACGTAAAAATATGTCATTCACCTAGCTAGATTAATTGGCTTTGGTGTTTAATTCGCAATTCGAATTTTTGTCGGTCGCATAGGAAAGAGGCAAGGCACGTGACTATCAAATGTGCATATCATTTGTTTATCTCTGGACAGCTAAATTCTAATTAACAATTTCAGTTCAAGACTTTGACCATTTTAGATGACTCACGGAAGGTTAACTACGTACTATCAATTGTTGAACTAAGAGTTACGCAGCCACAGATGAATCAGGCCTAAAAATGTTACCAGGGTATCAACATTTTGATTTACCGTTGTGCTGAAACAGGACATCAATAATCGACTAGGCTCAAACCGTGTGAATGACCTCGTGACAAAGGTTCTTCGGCATCGGTTCCCAGCAGTGATCACCGATGAAAGCGCCTGGGTCCTAGCTGAGTGGCTTTCGGGGGATAGATCCCATCAAAAAATTCTTTACGAAGAACAACAGGTGGATGATGCCGAATGTGAGCGATGGCTTCGCAAAGCCGTTGACGCAGGAGACAGCTATCCGCTCGATTTTGGCGCACAGCTCACCTCCGAGCAAAAGGTTTGAAGAGTACAATACACAGAACATATAGATAAAGCGTACGTAAGATCAATTGACGTATATATCAATTACCGACGGGGTTTCATTCTTAAGCATTTCTCAAAAGTGAACTATGCGCGTCAAATAAACGACGGTGAAGGTTGTGCAGGTGTTTTAGAGTAAAAGAAGTAATTTGTGATCGTCATCTAGGGATAATTATGGTATATTTCTGAGCATTTTGTAATGTAAAGCATCGTCGTATCGATTTTGAATCGACTATTAGAGATAAACCTAACTCTCTTTATATCGTAAGAGGTGTTACGCTTATTTTCTTGTTTAATTTACAGGTAAAGTTAATCCTTTATCTCGCTCGGCGACACTTGTTCGACTTTAACTCAACTCACTGTGTACCGCTGCCAGCGGCAAAATTTCAAGAGCCGTGGGATATTCGAAGAGTTGGTAAGGATGCAAGCTCACAGGACTCATTAGAAAGACCATTCGGCGGTAGGGCAGCACTCGAAGAGACTACTACCCGAAGTTCATCTAGTGAGAGTGATTTTTGTCAACTCGATCAGGAATCGTGCGACACAGGTCCGTACCTTTGGGTTCGATCACTCATAGTTGTGCAGCAAAGTAAATGACAACAGGCGAAAAAAGAACGACTTTAGAATGGTTTGACGCACAGTACGTAGGTCTTAACTGAATTTCGCCGGCTAACTAACAACGCATCTATTTGCATTGCTGATTTCACAAATGATATTTGCGCTTTTGCTGGAGATCTCGAACGTTTACCTGGGATAAAGTTTCTCTTAGGTTATCGCAGGGCTTAGCTTAAATTAAAAAAAAAAAGCTTGCTTGTCGAAGATAAAGATATTTTTTGATGTACGGCTTAACTATTAAAACGAATGGTCTAAGACGTTTGTACTTTGCTGCTTTGTTGTCTTGCAGAAGGCAACTAAAACAAAAAAAAGGATGAAATAGGTTCTAGCTGGTGACTGTACATAGGGACCGCAAAGTTTGTCTTAAGGCAGCCAACCGGCCATGTGTAGTTCTTGCGCTATGTAGCTAACTGAGGAAAAACCCGAAGAAGAAACAGTTCAATGATGATGCACGAAACGGCGCGTTGCCACCCCAACGAGCTATTTAGGATAAAGGTAGGATTAACTTCGGCGTTCCATCTACCATGTACATTTTGCCTTATCAAAACAAATCATTTGTTAGGACTAGACTTAGAGGGCTAATTGTAAATAATATGGTTTCGTATATTTGGCAAACCTGTGAAGATGGATCCTCATAAATTTTCGCGATGCGTGAACACGATTTTCACGACAATGTCGCTAGCTATTGGTAAACGCTTGTTTTGATTTGTAGCATGACTGATTCTTTAAGTAAATTCGTGTAAAAACAATACCATTGGGCTAAAAGGGCAAACTGCGCGAGATAGTTTCCAAAAAGGTAGCTTGTTTCGTTCCCTACAAATCAATTTTAAGTGAGTGTGCTGAGGTTATTATAGCTATGTCGACACACATTCGTACTGCCCTTCTACTAGAAGGAAGTAATGCGTGTAGAGCATGTAGTTTCCTTTTTTCGATCAAATACAGGGTCAAACTTAATGTCTAGTGACAAAGAAAATGATAGCAAACACTTCTTCAGGATAACCCTGTATACGGCTCTATTGGAATCATAACAGCGTGTGCTCTTAGCACACGCTGTTATAATTAGAAATTACTATTATAATTAGAAATGACCCGTTAGTTTCGAAATGGCCTTGTGTGGGAATCATAAAAAAGCAGCTTACTGTACGGTCCAAGCTTCAAACTTTTAATGAGATTATCACAAAGTTTGTGACTATTCTGGGCCGAAGTTATCAAAAGACTTGTCAATCGTTCAGCGATCGATTCGGCAAAGGCGGCTGTACGAGTCCGTTCGGCACATGAGGGAATTTTGCAGGTTACAGGGCATCAATATGAGCCCGTCATAAAGAGGTCGGCCTTGAATCTCTTCTATCTGAAAAACAAAAACACCGCTTTTAATCTAACTACAGATAAGTGCGTATTTTGTTGGGGATGATACTTGGACTTGATTCTGCATCCTTCTTATTCTGCATATTTCTTATCGCTTTTAGAACAGTTTACGTCGCTCTAAGGCGAATCCATAATAGGATACTACCAAGATCCTTGCCAACTGTGATCACATTCTTGAAGGGGTTTAAATTCACAGTCGAGGATTTCTCCGGTATTCCCATTGGCGGGGCGTCCATGACGAAAAAAATGAGATCAGACGTCGCCAGAAGATCGACGAATATATTTCGTTTAGCTTCATACATGGCGATATGCACCTCCGCTGAACTGAAACATTAGAAACAAAAGAAACAAATGACGTCGAAGTCGCGTAGCTTGTTTCTTTTGGTATCTCGACTTAAAAAGCGTCTTCGAAACGAAATACCGTTACTCTTTGGCGGTATCTACGGCTGAGTATTGTCAACCATCTCAGGAATTTTCAGGAAGATAACACGCTCCGCTACGGTGCATGAGCTCTTGTAACTTCGGCAGCAACTCACAAAAAAGAAACTCCTAGTGTTGCTAGTTTCCGTCATCGAGAGCAAATGATATGGAAGTGTTTAACCTAGAAACTCTCTTTTGTGACTTGTTGAAGTGAGATGTTATGAGCTATTTAGGTCTCTGCAAAGACTTTTCTCCTTTTTTCAAGGACTTTTTTTTTTCTAAAATTAACCGTCAGCAAAGATAGCAGTCATTCTGGATTTAGTCCATAATCGCAGCAGACTCTCTTGGCATAAAGGCGGCTCTCTAGGAAAGGCAAACAGAACATCCTGGCGTTTTTAACGGTACGGGCCCACAATGTCCCGTTTTGCAAGCGACATGTTTAAAGTCCCGCAATTGGACTGACTCAAAGACAAACATTTATGTATAGAGTTGCTTTTTGCATTGACGAATCCATCGTTAGCACTCCCCTCGAAACGGTATAATTCAAATAGACTCAGTGCAACACCTTAAAAGAGGCGCTGCTTAAGACGCCCTTGTGCCATTCATTTAGTACATAACGACTACAACTGAGCAACTGCAACCACGTTGAGGTCATATTGCGTTGAGCTTGTCAAATCCAGTTCGCCGAACGATCGGTGCCATTGCAGCGACAGCGTGGGCGTCTTATTGGTATGAACTATAATTTCATCGCTTACATCAAAAGCGTCAATTTTGAAAAAAAGGATGTTCTCATTGTGCCACAGTGGGTCAGTCTTCAAGCGAACATTTTCGCAGGTAAATATATATATGACAGGGTTGTGCGAAAATTGACCATTTAAATTTATTTAAACTACGTCATAATAATCCGTAATTGTTTATTTACATCCCGTCAAATGTGTTATTCTTTCCCTCAAAGTAAACTTGATCAACTATACTACATAAATATCCCGAACGAAACGGCGTCATAGCATTATTGTTCTCTATATGCTACATCTTAGATCTTGGTAAATGGCTCGATCGCTCGTGGTTTACCTTCGCTTCATCAGTATGTTACAAAAAATCTTCTTGGTGGTTATTCTTTACTACCATTTTTGGCAATATATTCCTTCTTTAAAACGATTTCAAATCTTGCAGTATTTGTCAAACGTTTTATAAAAGCGTCATGATTATATCGTTGTTGTACAGCGTTGTATAAGTCATTATTTTACAAGCTCTTCTTTTTTCTTTCATGTTAGAGTGGTTCAATAAGCTTTTATAAATAAGCTCCTTGATTTCCCCGTATCTCCTTAACGGGCCCGAAGTAACTATTGCTCAAGAATACGAAATTCGAAATTCGCTATTGGCCTAGTAACGGGTGAGGAATAGCCGGTATTGATGCGACCTCTACCGACTTTATCTGCTGGGAAAACAATAATAATGATGATGATTACAAAACGAACGAAAATTAAATAAAAAATGATGTGTGCTCGCTGGGGCGCTGTTAATTTATTACTACAACAGTAATTAGTTGTACACTGACAAGTGAGCGAAATCGCATTACTTAACATATTTACACGTATATGGCAATGCCCGCAGCTGTTATCATAATGCCGTTATTTAACGTTGTCACAGCAGCGACGGCGCTAAATATTTGAATGTCGTTACCCGAAGCGACGACAAAACAGCACAGTCGCTATATACGTTAAATCGTTTACTATAGAAGCAGACATTGTTTAGGTTGCGAGCATTTAATTGATATAATGAGATATTACCCTGCAAGACCTCTTCGGGAAAAAAAGAAATCATTCGGTCAAGAAAATCAGTTCTGGCTAGCCAAATCCACCAAAATGTACCTTATGCATATTGGCCACATCAACAACTTGTGATTTACATATCGTAACGTAACGACATAAGCATATTGAAGGCGCTTTTTTCCCAAAAAAGTAGAAATATAAAACAGCGAGACATTACATTTACTCCACAGTTAACTTTTCCAAAAACAAAACCAGCTTAGTATATACGGTATGTAACTTGAAATCTCAGGAGCTCAAACGTTTAATAAACTGAAAACAATACTAAACGCAGCAATCTGTTTCTTGCAGACCCTGCTAATAATGATGCTCGCACGTCACCAGTACAAACGCTCCGCCATCGGTTGAGCTATTGCATGTCTCAGTGCTGAGGCAGTGGGCGCTGAACCACCTCTCAGTGGCAACGTAACTTTCTGTATAGAAAACACATTTTTTTGAATTATGTTCGTTGGATGTTTACTGACGGTATGAGAAACTAATGTGCTAAGAGAAAATACTGGACAACGGTAAAGAGAGGATGCATAAAACGAGAGAACTGTTTCGAACGTATGAATATGCCGACGGTTACGACATGATATGACTTAACTAAAAGTATTGGCTGCATTAGCACAGAACTGCAGAGCAAGCACTCACTCTGTAACTTTGGCTCGGTTAACTTTCTCTCAGATTTTAAGCTATAATTATCATTTTAATGACAAAACTTTACAGGTTTTTGGTAAAAAATACTATTGCAGAAGCAGCGACTGCAATGATCACAGTAATGATGGATACAACAGCAACAAGAAAAACGTACTTCTAAAACGCTGTGTTGCTTATAATAATAAATAAATATATATATATATATATATATATATATTTATTTATTTATTTATTTATTATGATTATATATAGAGAGAGAGAGAGAGAAAGAGATGTATCAACTGAACGTACATACATTATAGATGCAAGAAAAAAAGTATTTAAAAATCAACGTATATCTGTGAATAATTTTAAGGAAAGGATAAAGCAACAAAAATAACGTTAACGTTCGTCGGCAATCCTTATTTGTGTGAGATAGGTTTTTGCAATAGCGACTTTTGCCGCTATCTCTCCTGAGCCCGGCCTCAGTTCACATTTCGGTAATTTTCATTGACCTAGGCTATCAGAACCCTGAATGATTTCGTAGCTAGGGGCGAATTCGGACACGAACTGCGGCACTAGTAGCGGCATTTCAAAGGGTACCATGAAATACGAAAGTTGAAAAAAGTAACCCTACTATCATAGTTTAAGCATGGACTCAGCGTATAGAAAAAAATCCGCGAACAGGTAGGTTTTATCACATAGTTTGGTTGTTTACTTATGTATAGACATTTCATAACGATAACTAAAACAAAAAACAAATGTTGCTTTGTCCTCTCGTACATGAAATCGCACCTGCCCATTTTTATTTAACCATTAATTAACACACGTGTACTACATTATCGATATTGGTATCCGCCGTTGGTTCTACCCGCTGAACAAGCACATAAGCGACAGTAAAAAGTACCATCTGCATTTTTATTTTTTGCGTTTCACTCAACTTTTCGAAGAGCTCAACCGCTGCGAACCGCAGATTTATTGCAGCGTACATCTAACACTATACCTTTTTATCGCAAGAAATAGAGAATTATTTCATGAATAATTTAAGACGCACGAGATTTCACATACAAAACAGCAGAGCGTCACGCTGATCGACAGAAAAACCAGATCTTGGATTTTGTTCTCAATAGCAGTGCACAAATGTAGCCGCGGACGACTGGTTTTGAAATGGTGGCTCGAATGCATCGCGTTTGCTCTAGTTTTTAGTAAAAAATATCAGTAAAAAATATCTCTAATCATACTTTAGACTATATTGAGTTAAGTTCTATGACCTTATGAGCCGTAGCGGCTGTTATCGATTCGGTTTCTTCCATGATAATTTGTGCGATTTCCAACGCGTTTATTTGTGCTTCACTGTTCACACTGACTTCCTTCTCGCATCTACAATTCATATAATAGACGTCCTCAGCAGTCACGTGGATGCTGTCGTTTCCCTCACGAAAACGTGCTGGCAACTCGATACGAACTTCGATATACACCTTCCCGTGCTTCAACAGGAGATGAGCATGACGGAAGCATTCTATATCCGCTTCCAGCAGTGAATCACCTAAAACGCAGGACCACATGATTACGTATAATAACGAATAGCGGAAGGATATTTAATAACATGGCGAACACAACGGGCGAGGGCTTGTACTTCAATCTGCAAAGTACGAACGAGATCACCGCAAGTCGTCTAATCTAAACGCAAATCAACTGTTTTTGACCAGCTGAACGAGAAAAGGTGCGCATGCGCATTGCTTCTTATGATTTGCGTGTCTTGTTTTGACATTAATTATTAAATTAACAGGCCTTACATACTGTAATGTGTAACATATAAGGCTACAACCTTCCTATTTTATAGTGTCCTTAAACGTATATTATAATAAATTCAATTGTGTGTATCAGCGCCTGCCCGAAAAATCATTTCATATTAGTGCACTAGTGCACTCCTACATGAATTTCGCACCGGATAACAATGTACAGGTAATAATAGCAGTAAATGTCTGTAGTATGTTATCGAACCGTGGCTTGAAATTTTCTGAACGAAAACGATTAGTCTTAGCTTTCCCTTAAAACTACGACCGGAAAAGCTACAAGAGTATCTAATACACATTTCCCCTCGTTCCATCTGAGTGGATCACGCACTTAGGACAGATATCATACATACATACCCTGTAGAGTCAAAATTGCGCTGAGGACTTCCCTACGGTGGGTCATGCTTCTTTTTTCTGCCTCTAGACCCGCTGCGATCTCCCCGTAAACCTTGCTTACAACCCTTTCCAAAGAAGTTTCCGAGAAGTCTTGCCCGAACTGGCCTAGTGCCTTTTTTAGGATAGGCGACATGTCCAAAGTTAGCGAACATAAACGCCCCATTGCTCCACTCTGAAGGTAACATCACAGAACGAACAGCAAATTTGATTTGCAGTTTTTGTCGGATTTCTGCCGATTTAAAAGATCATGGGTAACCACTATAGTTCTTTCGGTAGATATACCTTTGCTACGATATTGCTTGAAACAACTGTCTACATTTAAACTGCGTACCAGTTTGCAGCGAAGATCAGCGAATAGCACAGGATCATTGTCGAAGTACACACGGATCCAGAAATCTGCGAGTTCTGACAAACCGTGCGGCACACTAGCCGAACAGAATCGCTTGTCCACGTATGCGCTGTTTAGCAAATGTTCATACTCGCGCCGACACCCTTCAGGTATCTGCCGCAATTCGTAGAGTATCAACTCGGAAATAAGTTCTTCAAGCACCTATGCAATACAAGAATTGCCGAAGAATAAAACTTAAATAGAGGAGAATGTGAATACATCGCTTTAATGTAAATGGTAAAGGAGGTACCGGTGGAAAGTACCCTTTTTCACGTGCCGCTATCGAAACAAGCTATGTATATTACGCACATATTCTTGCTACTGATAATAAACCGTAGATGAATTAAAAACAGGTTTTCCATGTGCCAATAGTTCAAAATACTGCGTTTTATTATAAAGAATGTTTGTAAAGATAACTCATACAGTTACATTGTCTTCTAGCATGAATGACCGTATCAACTAGAAGGAGACAATCTTGATTGTTTTTTTAATTTTTGTAAGCTGCACTGAAATTTCGGTTTTGACTGAGCTTGGTTTTGTTTTCTTTTAGCGAGAGTAGCGCGTATTTTTTTATAAAAGTTGCACATACTTATTAAATTGATGTTAAGGTAAACCTTTAAATATTGTTGAGCATTGATTCTAAGGTAGAGATTTATAAAAAGGAATGTCAACTGAACTAGCGACGTCGTCTCAGAACATAATCCACAATGCCTACATTATACGAAGAGCGAAATTGCAGTACTCAACGGCTGTACACTTGTCGCTTAAATCATCTGGTACATAATGGCCTTGACATAAATGCAATTATTAAAACACTGAAAAATCCAGTTAAGCTTAAGAGTATAAAGGATCAGGATTGTTAAGAAATTATAAATGATGAGAACGATTGATATCTTTGACTTTTGAACGAGTTCACTGATATTTTTAATGAAGAACTATGACACTTTCCGTTCGAGTGGATAGCTTTAGGAAAGATATACGTATTTCTGTGGAACGTGTTAGGCGATCGAGGTAATCGATAAAAACTTACATTTTATTTCTTTTCGATGGAAGAAATTCAAGCAGCAAAGGAAACGGATAGGAGTCTACTACTGAGGTGTTCCAGACGGGTGTCGAATTTAAAAATTAGAATAAAAACAAATGTGTTTATATTGACGTCATATTTGGGCTATATTATTTTGCCCAGCACCAGTCGTGGTCATGTCACAGCCGTATCCTAATAAATCAATGTTAACGCTAACAAAGTACTTGAACTGGTAGACTGGGAAGATCCTAGTTGCCCAATCTTATGTTTAGGTATACTATATCTTTATATATAAGATCTATATATGACTTTAGATATAAGATAAAATGCCTGTTTTACAATACCTTAACGAGGGCATTCTTCCGGCGCACGTCCCAGGTAGCGAGCGACGGTAGCTTGGTTATTTGAGGCAAAAAGCCGTCATTAAAGATAAAATCCGGCGCAAATTCTGGTTTCGACGAGTTTAATATGACCCACCAACTTGTAGCTCCCCTGTTGCCATGCTGCCATCTCAGCTTGAAGCGATCCACTTTCGTTGCTAAAATGTTAACATAAATAAATACACCGGAGGCGCGAAGAAGGTGTTAAAAAACAGCGCTATAGTATGTAACATTCGATTGACAGCCATATCATCAAACGCAATGATTGCGCAAGCGTATTATTTTCTGTAGAGCACAAACAACTGCCACAAGTCTAGCGGATACAAAGAAGTCGCGGGCCCTCAGTGTCTATTTGATTGCCCGTAACATTATTAGTTATTATGTTTTTGACAAATGCATATTCTAGATCACAATGGCCTTGAAAATAACATAGAGAACATGAGTGTTTCCTACACCTTTTCGGTTTCTAAACAGGCTCTAAATTTGAGGAGAAACGCTATAATCCAAAGTTGTTTTATATCTTTTGTGTTTTCATATGTCTCACCTAAGTTTGCCGACTAAAAGGGACAATTTACCGGACAGAAAATTTTCCCGGATATGTTAGAACTAAGATCACCTTCCAAGAATTACACTTAATGCCCACAATACAACGTCAACAATGCCGCTAGGTAAGATATATCGGTAGATTATACTTGGGGTTACTGCCCAATAATTGATAGATGAGTGAAGCGGTTTTAATAGCAAAGGTAAAATCTGATCTACTTAACTACCTAAAAATTGAATAGAATTTTTTTTTTAATTTATATTGTGGATGATTACATTAAATGATCTGAATTTAGAGCAAGGTCATATTATCGATAGTGTTTGAACCGATTATAGTTATTGAAAGATATGGCCGTCATATTCGAGTGTTTGTACACACTCTTTGCTTCCAAATCTCCACAACCGGTCGTCAGGGATTCGATGACAAGTTGTTGTTCCCGTCCATGAATAAAGAACCGGTGATTCGCGAGTTCACGGCATCGTTCATTTAGAGGCACAGGCAACCCATACAGGTCTTGATCTATATGGAGGTCCCCACGCATCCTTCCCAATATGAAAATCGGGTTCAGCCTGAGATCTTCTCAATCTCCTGAAAATAAAACGCGGGCACAAATACACACCGATTGCAGCAAACGACACGAAATTACTGAAATGACTCACTTTGACAGTGACAACAAAGAATTACATCGACATATAAAGACATTCCACCCGTACAGAACGCGAACAGCGTCCACCAACAGCACAGGTAACAAAAGTTCAACGATTAACTCAATAAAGACGATGTTTGATATTTTTATAAACGTAGACACGTCTTTTTTTTATCAGTATACGCACATTCTCATTGGATCTCATACGCAATCACATTTTAGACACCTACAAGTGCATTTCACTATAATTAATTGCAGATCAACCTTTTTGACAGTGAAGCATGGATTCGATTTAACACACGCCAGAAATGTAGCAGGGTTAACAATCCTTGATAGTTACGTAAAACCAACCGTGCGGTGTTCGGAGAAGATATTGGTTCCAACTGGCTGAATTGAGAGCGCTTTGGACGATTCGACAACCAAAACAAAATGCATCAAACAAATGAATAAATGCATTCTAAAGCTGTTTTGATTGTTTATGTTCTGCTCGTTCGTGGTGCGGGCGATCTTGAAAAATCGAAGAAAGAGAAGAAAAGAGACGAAGTCGGCTGCGTCTGCTTCGCGGGAGCGCCGAATTCAAGCATCTTCAACTTTTATCTGGATTAATTATTTACTCAGAGTTGCTCTCACAAAAGAGTTGATCTTTAGAAAAAACCGCACACGAAATTGACGAACATGTATAATAGTTTAAAACAAATTATTAGGTTCAATTAACTAAATGAGTGGACACTGTTTGAATTTAAACAGCTTATAACATTGTAATACGTATCGCATTTTATGCTACCGAAGAGACAAACATGCATAAGCTCATTTTAAACCACTAAGATATTTGAATCATACTCTAATTTCCAGTAAATAAGCTAAGTTAATTGAAATTTGACAATGAGAAAAGATATCATAGTGACACACTGAGAGATGTTTTATCTGAATAAATTTATCAGTCCGCTTATTTGCCCTACAGAGTTTATTCTTTAACCTCACAAGTTATGCTCCTGTCTTTTCACACTGTTTCCGTATAGTTATCGGCATGGTTTATAACGGCTCTGAAATTTTCGAGATATGAAAAATACCAATGTCCTTATCTTTAAGACAAATAGGGTGTTAAATGGACCATTTCCTTTTCTGTGTAGAACTCAATCCTTTTAGCATGAAAAAGCGAAAAGCTGCTCACCCAAAAAAGAAGAGGATAAATCAGTTAACGGCTGCTCTTGAAGGTGGCGCAGCGGTAACCTGATGTTATAAGGCATTGTCACTTCGGGTTGTATAGTACGACGTTAAAAATGAAGAACCCCCCAGAGTGGGTCGTGTATATCCAGGCAGTTAAACTATTTAAAATTATTTCAGCATATAGCATGGGAGTGTTCCTTGCGTGGTTTAGATTAGTTTCTTAACAGAAAAATATCTCCCTTCTGACCGATAACGGTCATGTGTAATTTAGCCAAGAATTCTTCCTGTAAACATTTCCTGCTAAGCTGGTTACATTATTTAATGACCACAATCGTCGTCATGATCGTCAACAAAGAACGTATTCGAATAATGGCTGACTCAAATACCGGAACATCAGAAATCTGTGTTTGTACAGTCGATAATGGTAAGCCACGATACAGTATAAACCCAACAATCTAGAGAGCTTATATATCCTCGAAGCATTTTCCTCAAATTGGCCAGGCAAGATGATTTAGCTTTTAATTTTGATTACGACATTTGCTATTATGCCTGTTCGAAAAATCTAGCCCGTAGTGACAAAAATTAAAGAGGTCCTTGCATTGCTTTGTCGTTATAGTGACATCCGGAGTGAGTGTTACAAAAATATATTTCATACAACCTTACGTTACCCCCTAAGCTGTAAATGTTTGGTCACATCGGAAGTAACTGTAATTGCAATCGCGAAAATATAATAACGAAGCGCTGCAATTCTTATAGCTACATTTACTAATAACTAACGGAAAGGACATGTCGGTTGTTGATATACAGTAGTAAGGCATTTTTCCGAGAGATCCTGTTGATGACGTACGGAAGACAATATAGAGATCGACAGATATGTTTGTCTACCTTATAATGGACTAATTATGTCGTTTCATCTGAGCATATGTGGTGCTTATGCTTAAATGAAATTTTTTCCCAAACCCTAAGCCTTAAAATGGCCTGGAGAAATTTGAATTACATATTTCGAGTTGTATGTGTGGAACAGCCATTGGTGGCATTGATTGTATTAAGCAGCTGGCTTCCCTACTGCACGAGTCCAGTGTCTAACCCCCGATTTCCATAGCATATGGTTCACAAACCCGTAACGTTCATAGGTAAACATGTCACCATGTTGACTTATTTGGAGACAACTCAGTCGCGGGACATTTGCCACTGCTACTGTCCTGAAAGCGAATTATTTTTGTTATCAATAACACGCGTAAAGCCAGCCCTAGTCTTTAGATACTTGTCATTTCCACATCAAACCACAGCACCTTAAATTAGGAACATATTCCGATACCTTGCGTCACTCACAAAAATTTCCGCTTTGTGGTTTCGTTGCCTCCTTCAAAATTACGCCGCCACCGCCTACTCGACACGCTTAGCCCTACAATTGTTCTTGCCGTGAATCTCTTCCCAGTGCAGTAAATACAACGTCATTTCAAGTCATTCGTTTTATGACTCGTTTTCATATCCTACCAAACATTTAGCTAATATTTTTAGGTTCTACGACTGTCCCCCTACGAGTGTACGACTATGCCCGCTCGACGTTCTCCTTTTTTTCACTCAACCACCGCCTGTGGTCGATATAGTTCTAGCCTTGTGTCAGCCGCATGTCGCTATCATGTTTCGACGTAGCCGCTTGAGTAGGCCCAGTGCGGCTCGTCATTCCCTTGGCAGGTCGGCAGGCGTACAACATTTCGTGACACTATCACGATCCATAGTATTAGCCACGATTGCAACGGTCAGCGGCACCTTCAAGCGTCGAGCAAGGCCCTTCATGTGGCTCGTTCGTTAGTTGTTGTGTCGCCGGCGATGGCCCCGTAGAAGCGCCTGAGGCGTAGCAGCAACCGCCTCAGCGGGGTGGCGGTAGCAGTAGCAGCAGCAGCAGCTGCAAGCTGGGCATCTTCAGCGACGGCGGCGTCGGCTGAAGTGGCGGCCGAAGGTGGCCGTTACCGCGGCGGAGACGGCGCTGCTAATTTCTACTAGTAGAGGATTTTGCGGCCGCGGTCTGTAGTATTACAGGGCGCGGTATAGCCACACACCCAGCTCAACAGCAGACCATGCTTGGAACGCATTCAGCCATAAGCCATACGCTATTCCGCTCATAGATATCCGACAGCCACAACAATCCGATAGATGTGCCGACAGCGCGGTTATCGCCAGTGCACAGGTCGTAACACACACACAAACGCGCCCACATACATTCACACACGTACCAAATAGACAAGAAACACGGAGTCCTTCCGTGTATCTCTCTGCCTACTAGCCTACTCTGGCTAAGTGACAATACTCCGGAGCCTGGCAAACTGTGATTGTGACTGCGTCCGTGTGTAAATGGCGGGCTGGGAGGCCGACTGGCCTTTCGCCAGCCGCCGTTGCCGCCGCTGTTTGGCTGTGACCTGCTGGCATGGAAGCGTTTGGCCGGACTGCTAACTCTGCTCGGCCATGGGACCCCGCTGGGCTGCGTCTGTGTCGACGTGTGTCCTGTGCGTGTAGTTGGTGGGCCGCGCCGCAGCCGCTGCGCCATTACTGGCGCCGTCATTACTCCTCTTAGTCGCAGGTTTGCCTGCTCGCTTGGTCTATGTCGGTTGGCTTGGACGACCGCTGTTGTATGGCTGGGTCGTTTTTGCGCCGAGGCTGCCCGGCTCCCGCTGCTGCTGCTGCTGCTGCTAGTCGATGTCGATGACGACGACAATGATAATGATGACGGGAGCTGCGGCTGGCGGTACGATCGTTTTGGCGGTGCTGGCACTAGCAATAATAGAAGTGAACAGACTGTGAAGCTGCTCACTGACGATCACTTTCCGGTCCCGGCCGCACTACCGACAAGTAGCAACGCAATGAGCTCCCTTTTGTACGTCTACCCGAGAGATTTTGTCGGTCAGACGGCCGGGCGCATCGGCGAATAACCGTCGTCGTCGGCTGGTTGGGTGTCACTGCTTTGATATGTATGTGACCCGCACACAACCATCAACGGCGGCAGTGGTTGCCGTAATAGCGGCGGCAGTAGCGGTGGCGGCGGCGGCGGCGGCGGCGGCGTCGTCGTCGTCGTCGTCGTCGTCGTTGTTGTCGTTGTCGTCGTCGTTGTTGTCGTCGTCGTCGTCGTCGTTGTTGTCGTCGTCGTCGTTGTCGTCGTTATTGTCGTCGTCGTCGTCGTCGTCGTCGCCGCTGATATTAAGGGCGACAACAAACACCAACGACGAGTTAAGCGACGACAACGCCTACAGCAGCAATGGCAACAACTTATTATTAATACTGCACAAGCGGTGTCGCCCACATCGGCAAGAACAACAAAGCGAGCGAAAACTGTGTCGTTGTTTGGTTCAGCCGCTTGGTCCATGAAACGGGCTCAAGTTGCTTGCGGCCAGCAGTAACAGTAATAGCTATTGCTGCTATTGGATCGTCGTCGCTCCTTCGGCGACTGTTATATTCTGTCTGTTTGCCTGACTTCTCTTTAGGCCCGTTCACTCACCCGCTGCACGCCCCACACTCGATCGAGTTCGTCTGTCTTTCTATCCGCCACTATGAAAACCCCTCGTGTATGATCAGCCGTGTGGCACCGAGCGGAGCTGCACCAGCGCTAGACATCTCTCACGGCTGGCCTATCGTTTGAACGGACGATTCTGCTCATCGTGATTGTTGCTGCCTAGCCGAAAGTCAGCGTTCGTGATGACTGTGTAAAAGAGTATATGCCCTAGGGCCGCCGCAGCAGTAATATAGGTGTAGCATGGCGGTTAGTACGGGCCTGGCAGTGGCGGCCCAAGCAAAAGTATCATCGACCCTAGTAGCCACCATCGGCCTCCAAGCAACACACGGCAATAGCGATTAGCTTCAAACGGTCCGACTGGCAGGCTTGCTCGCTCAGTGACTGCTCGTCTCTGTGTGCTACAAAGGGAGGGGTACCTTCCTTGAAGCGGCAGCAACAGTGAGACGGCCAGGCAAATAACGAACATAGGAAACAGTCAACAGCGACGAGTCGGCGATTACAGCCGCCACAGCAGCAGCTGTGAGAGCGACTACATCAGCGACACATCGTTGCTTCATAGCCTGCACGGGAGAATACACCTACTGATTACCACTACAATTACAACTATTATTGTTATAGCACCAGCCGCAGCGACGACGGCTGCGTCCGTACGAGTAACAACAGCTATTGGCGGCCTGCTTGAACCGATTTTAGGCTGTTTAGCCGTTCGTCGCTGGCGGTATGGCAGCCGGCTGTTTCGTTGATGCATTGCCGTTCGGGTCGACAACAGACACCGAAGTTTTAGGGAAGTGACTTCTTACACCACGTACAATTTACGTGTATTCTCCTTGGTCCTTAAAAAATAGCGCGGCGACAGACAACCGCTGAACAGCTGAAGGAAGTGCTCCTGCTGCCGTCGCCACCACTGGTGATGTCGTCGCCGAATCGATCGCCCTGCAGCTTCGCGCTGCCCGTCTCGTACGAGTGCCAACAGCAGCAACCACCTTTGGTGGTCGCCGTCGCCAGACTCTGAAACGCAGAAATATTGCTCGTTTGCACCAATGCAGCGTGCGCGCTGCTGTGTAGAGTCAGCAGCCGCAACGGCGGCTGGCACCAGCTCTCGCTCACTATTCGATTCGACTCGGCATAGTCATGATCAGTATCATTATTATCATCAGCAGCGGCGGCAGCAGCGGCTGTTCGGTGAGCACTCGCTCGCTGAGTGTAGCAGCGATAGTAGAAGTGCGAGCCAACGACCAGTATCTATATCTAAAATTTGTCTGGTTCCAGCTACGGAAAAACGTAGTTAGATCGTCGCTGCCTTCCGCTGCTATTGACCCTGTTCAGCGGCGCGCAGCTACGACTCCTGCAGCTATCGCAGGTAATACTGACTGGCCTGTTCTGCAGTCAAAGCAGCGAAAATCAACTGACCTAGCAGCGTTCAAGCGGCGACAGGCGGCCAACAGTAACGACAGCGAGCGGTAAGCAGTAGCAGGGAGGCCACTACAGGAAGCGACGACACGGCTGGTCGCAGCAGCAGCATCGGCCATAAACATCAAACCAGCTGCCAGCCGCCTCCTGCTACACACAGCAGCAAGCAGATCGGTCGTTGTCGGTGAGTCGGTCGAGCAGCGGGTGAGCGAGGGCGCATGCGAAAGAGAGAGAATAGCCGCTGCATTCACTCGACCGTGTAAGTTTGAGTTGTTGGTTGCAGCCGTTGCTGCTGCTGCTGCTGCTGCTGCTGCTGCTGCCACTAACAGCAGCAGCAGCAGCAGCAGCAGCAAACAACCGCGGCGACCAGCCAGGCGTCACAGCTCACTCGCCTATTTGCCTGCCTTTCTCTCATTGTTCACTGGTTCAACCAGACGGCCGCTATTGGCTGCGGCCACCGGCGCTGCCGCCTGCCCTCATCCCTTGCCCTTTCCTAGGCCGGTGCCTCTTCCAGTCGTCGCTGTGGTAGTGGAGGCAGCAGCGACTGGCTCTTCGTCGTTGCCTCGTCGGTTCTCCTCTCCCAAAGGGCCGTCACCGATGAGTGAGTGTTCGCTGGCGTGGCGTGGTGGTCGGCGGACGAACCAGCGGCGCCAGTGACATCGTCGGCGGCGGTCGCTTCGAGGCAGTGGCAGTCGCGGCGCAGCAGCGGCGGAGTCAGCAGCAGAAGCGAGTCAGTCACCGTCAGGCAGCAAACAGCAGTTCGTTCGTTCGTTCGCTTGGTCGGTCGGTTGGTCGGTCGCCGTTTGTATGTGCTTGTGCTCCGTTGTTGGTTAGACGACGAGGGCTGTGACTGTGTATGTGTGTGTGTTACCAGCGGTAGCCAGCGCCGAGGCCGTGGCTGTCGCCGCAGTAGCAAAGGCAGCCGTGGCTGTTGCCGTAGCAGCAGGACGCAGCGGCCGAAGTAGCAGCTGCAACAGCAGCAGCAGCAGCAAAAGGAGCGAATCGTACCAATAGCACGAAAACGACAACGAAGAAAGGCGAAAGAAGACGACGACGACGACAACAACAACTACTACTACTACTACTACTACTACTACTACTACTACCACTGCGTCAACAGCTGCATCCAGGACACCATAACAACAGTAAGTATGATGACGTGAAAAGCAGCAGAAGCAACAGAGGCCAGGACAGCGACTGCAGCTGTTGTTTCGTTGAGTTTTGCGAACTGAAGGTTCCTGCTCGATCCTCAAATCGCCGCCGCCACGATCGCGATTTCCGCCGCCAGCGCCGCTTCTTCCTCTACCATTACGATTAGTCCCACTGATGTTGTGCAAACGACGCTAAACTTGTGCATTACTTTTAGGCGTTGCGGACTACAATTGCCGCCGATGTGACGACCACTGGAAACGACAGTAGCAGCAACAGCAGCAGCAGCAGCACAGGCGCTGTTGGGGCTGATGCTGACTGTAACGGTGGGTCGCGGAAGCGACGGCGGTGGCGGCGGCGGCGACGGCAGCAGCAGGAGCAGCAGTAGTAGTTTCTGTTGTTTTGTCCCTGTTCCTATCCATTTGTCCTGTCCTCGTAGTTAGTAGCCATAGTAGTAGGCCTTTCGTGCCATCTACCTATTGTCTACCTGCGGCTGCATCGTAGTAGTGTCACCTACAGCGGACGCGTCTTCCGTGGGGGGTGGTGGTTGTCTCGTCGCTGGCAGCTCTCAAAATGCTGCTGGTAGACGTGGGAATTTAATAGGAAAAAAAGGTCAAAAAGGTGTGTATACGTTTCGTCGTTGCTGGTGGATGTGTGTTTGTCTGGGTGTGTGTGTGTATGTATACGTGCGTGTGTGTGTGTGCGTTGTTGGTATCTGCTTGTGTCTACGACGATCCACACGCTGTAGACACGCTCTGTGGGACTGGTTGATTCAAGTAGCGTTGATGTCAGATAGCGCTTTTTTATTTTGTTCTATTTACCAGTTACATATTATGTTGTTTCGTTGGTGGGCGATAACAACTGTGGTCCGGATGTTTTTGGGGGCTTCGCAGTCTTCTTCAGTTTGGATGGTATCCGTAGCAATTAGTTGTGCGCCACTATACTGTATTGTTATTGCAGCAGAACAAAAACAGCGACAGTACGTTCGCAAAGATAGCGTTTTTAAACGCATTGCATCGATAACGTCTAACTAACCTATTGATAAGCATCGACTAATAGTCTACGCTGATAGAACAACGGCCAAGGAAAAGAGATCAACTCGACTGGAACTTTCAAATATGCTGCGACTCTTTCTTCTGTCACCATTTATGCTTTCCTAGCCCGTTGCGGCAACAACATTGGCTTGCAGTAGTAGCGTTATTTTAGCAGCAGTAGCAGCACTACCACCAACAGTCATCGCTTCTCATTGCCCGTCCAACAGCGGCGGCGGCGGCAGCATTTGGGGCAACACTACTATGAAAGCCTATTTAGGCCCCGTAGGCGCCATAACAGCCACAGTTGCTAGTACTGTTTAGCCACAATACCGTAGACAACAATAATCGTCATACTTGTACTTTTATACAGCTGTATATAACAATAGTTCATAGCTAAGACCCGCACCGGAATCGCCACCAGCAGCATCACACGTCTACTCGTATCGCCGTTGCTGTGAGCGATCATTGTAGCGTCAGCTTGGCTCAGCTTTGTGCCTCCGCCGCGGCTGTTCGTAATGGTGGTCCATTGCCTAAGTGCTAAGTAGTGCTATACGCGTTGGCTTTGCCATTGTGATGCTCCTTCACGCCAGCGGTCTGTGCGTGCTGACGCTGCTAGTGATGGACCGGTGCCAAGCGGGTGGGTAACCATCGTTATACTATCATATAGAAAAGCTCGTACAAGGAGGCGGCTACGGTATCGGTGACTGGCTGGCCAACTGGCTCAACAGCCGGTCGACCCTTTGTCCGCTCAGTCGCCTGTCGCGTGGAGCACCACAGCGAAGCGGAGTTGGTTCGTTTCACCGCTGCTGTTGAGTGCCCATCTGTATGTCTGGCTGCCGTCCGTCCGTGCTTGTTTGTGTGTGCGCGCGCGCGTCTGGGTCTGAGTGTATGCGCCGTCTGTTGCACTGGTGTGGCCCACTCAGCCGCTCTCCCTCCCGTTCCCCTCTGCGCCCGTTTCCGCCCCCCTTTCGCCCGATATCGTTGTTCGGACGCAAACGCCCCGCGGCCGAAGTTCGCTCATTATTGCTTAAAATCAACAGGTTTATCGATGACTAAAATGAAAAAAAAAAGACAACAATACTATAGACGTTGTACTTAACGTCGTCGTCCCCGCCCACCCTTCGCTGCTATAACCGCTGGACATTGTAACGAACAGCAAATTCGCTGTTGTCGTTAGTTCAAAAGTGTACCTACTTGTAGTTAACGTCGTCGGGCTGGAGCGCTGCCGATCCGATTTTAGAACTTTTTATTTTCTGCCAGTAGTGGAACCTCGCTACTATCGCTAACTACATTAATAGTAATAATGCTAACTAATTCATACGCAACCGCCTGTCTCAACAGCATCGGCCTTCCATCAGTTGTTTCGTTTGTCTGTCTGGTCTCGTCCCTGATACGAATGAACGAAACAACCCGTTAGCGAGGGACGATAGCGCTGCAAGTAGTAGTTGTACTGGCCGGCTTGAATGATGTGAACGGCTTTGATGGGCTGCTCACAGCCACAGCTCAAATGATGGCCGCGACGACGACGACGACGACAATCATAATCACGCAACGCCACATCCGAGCTGTGGCACCAGCGATGACGTTGCAGCCATAGCGATGGCAATTGTCGTACCGGTAGCAGCCGTCGCCGCGTCAACGGCAACGGCGACATCACATCGTCCCGTAGCAGTTTCTGCGGAGTGTTGGTGGTGCCACCGTTGTTGTCGTGGCTGTGTGGCGTTGGCCGTCGGTTGGCTCGTTTGCTGACGCGACCAGGTAGCCAGCAGTGAGCAGGGACGATGACGATTACCATTACTGCTGGCAACAGTAGTGTTGATGGCGGCTGCGACGACGACGGTGCTTCTCAACTCGGTTCAGCCCGTCGCCATCTCCGTCCAGTTTATCGCCCAGCCGTCGCTTCGCTCGTTCGGTCGGTGGGCCGGTTGGCTGTTCGCTTCGTTGGTCGAGCGGACGGTTGGTTTCTCGCTCGTTGCTCGCTCGCCCTCGACAGTCGATGTTAGCTTGACTTGATCACTCACAAGATTGACCAGCCGGCCGCCCGTTTGTTCGCTCTGTGCTGCAGCCTACGGCGATAGCGGCAGCGGCAGCGGCAGCAGCAGCAGCAGCAGCAGCGCTGTTGAATGCGTATGCGACAGAGCTGCGACATTAGCGAACACAGCGACTGCGATTGGCCTAGTGCGAGCGAGCGAGCGTGCATGCTAACAACACCAGTGGCAACAGCAGCGGCGCTATTCAACCGTTCGCGATAGCACTACTAGCAGTTGAAGTGGTGGCGGCCGCCGATTACTGGCGGCGGCGGTGATTCTATAGTAGTCGCAGCAGCAGCAGATAGACACAGCGGCGACTGTAGCGCTTGTTGTCGGCCGATCGCTTAAGGAGCGGACAGACACACACACACACACACACTCAGACCCAGACACACACTATGCACACACACACCTACACACCGACCAATCGAGCTGGCCAACGGCGATTGCTGATTGTGCTGCCGGCTGTCTCGCCAGCAACAACAGCAACAGCAGCAGACGAACGGTTGACACGAGGGAGGCGAGCCGAATCGGCAGCAGCGGAGACCAGACGGGTGTTCGTTTGTTGTTGTTGTTGTTGTCGCTGCTGCTGCTGCCGCCGCCAGCGTGGCGCGGTGTATTGAGCCGCTTGCATTACTGTGTCTGCAATGTCCGCTGCCGCAGGCACTGTATGTGCCTTGACTTTTGGCCGTCTGTCTGTGTGACGGAGAAGCGCGCTGCCACTGCTCTTCGCACTGTGCTTTGCCTGATATTGGTAGCACTGATAATAGCAACAGCAATAAACGGCGGAGGGTCCGTTTGTGCGGCGGGCTGCCAGTGGCAGTGGCGGTGCTTCATCTGTTTGTGCTGGTCGGCCGTTCCAAGCTGACAGACAATCGGCATCATCATCATCAGTACCAACAGCAACGGCTCATGTAGCACCGCGTATTGTATGTATCTCTTGCAGGAGCCGTCCGCCATCGTCCTCGTCATCGCAATCGGAGAAGACGAGGTGTGGATCTGTTGTTGCGGCAGCGGTGATGCTGGTGATGGTCGTGAGGTAGGCTCGTCATCGTGGAAGCTGAAGCGCAGTGCGTGTCTCTCTCTCTGTGTGTGTGCAGTGTTCTGCCGTACAGTGCTATGTGAAGTGAGTGAAATGTTGCCATGTTATCACAATAATAATGGCGGTGGAATCGGTAATTCAAGAGTAGTGAGGCGGGGGTGCTGAGCGAACAACAGAGTACTTCGACTGCTGCTGCTACTACTTGTACGATTGTTCTATTCTTTCGTCGGTTTTCATCAACCGCACAAATCCACCGTACAGTTTTCAAGTGCGATCAAACGGACAACCTAATCAATAATATCATTAATTCATTATAATAATAATCATCGAGTGTCAAAAACCATCTACGTGCAGTGTATGTGCGCTCTGTTATCGATTAACAAGTGGCTATAATAACAACAACAGCAACGTCACCGCTCATCTAGTGCGTCCATCGAACACTAATAGCAGTAGCGACAACATAGCAGATTCGAACGCTCCGTGCAGGCGGATTATAAAGCTCTGATTTCGCGGTTATTCGTGTGACCCTAACATTGTGATGACTCTGTGTATGCAAGATGAAAATAGCTGAAAGTACTAATTGCAATAATTATCAACAATAATAGTAGCTACTGATTGAAGCATCGTTTCTTAGGAAAGCCGACCCTCCTTCGATCAGGAATTAGCTGTCCGTAGTTCAGTGAGCGCACTCAGTTGTGGCGCGCCGATTCAAGCTGAACTGCTCGATTAGCTAAAATCGAACTGCTCAGTGGTTATCCGAGTTAATCGCCCCCGACCGAATCAAATCTTGTGCGATTGGAGCTGCCGGACGGATCATTGTTGGCAGCTGCGTGCGGGCAATCGATATTACCCCGGAAGGGGTCGTTGATTCATATCGTACCAGCGGAAAGTAGTGACGATAATAACAACAATACCAACGACAAAAGAAAAGCTACAGATTTTCCTAGCAGTGTCTTTTAATCGTCGACGGTTCTGGGTTGCGGTAGCACCCGCTTTTCGACTCTGGCTCACCATCCCCACCCCGCCCCCGCCACGGACACGACGTTTTCGTGCAGTACGGCCCGTCGAATTGAGTACCACGTCGAGTATCAGCAACCGAAAAGACACCAGCCTCAGCACCATCATCATCAGCAACAACAATCACATCAACAACAGCAGCCACAGTACCACCAGCCAGCGTACCATCATCCACAAGCGCCTCCGCATCATCAACAGCAACAGCAACAAACACCCCAACCCCCAGCGCAGCATCTTCATCCGGCTCAACAACAGCAGCAGCAGCAGCAGCCACCCCCAGCGGCCCCTCCTCCTCCGCCACCTCATCAACAGCAGCATTCATATTCGAGATCGGTAACCAGGCAGTCAAGAACCGCGCCGGCAGCTGACCAGCCAAACAGCAGTAACAGAATAATGTCGTCGAATGATATGTCCATGTACGACATGAGTGTTCCCTACACCTTCAAGTGCCAGGCAAGTACCATTATTACTATCATTATTATTACTATTTCAAAACAACCACGACGTTAGTGATAGTTGGTGGCGAGAAGAATGACGTGTCGAGACTGAGGAGAGAGTAGCTTGCCTAGATAGAAAGGGCAGTTGTATCATAGAACAATAGGGAGTTAGCCAGTAGCGCAGCCGAAACGAGGGCAAATGCAGCACACGCTGCAGGCAGCAGACACGCAGAGGCATCTGGCGTGAACGTCACGGCCACCGCAGCGGTATTTGGTATGATCATTGGCACCGGTATTTTAATTCATGACGATTCTAGTGACGCGGATGACTGTGATGACGACGGTGCTAGCCACTTGGGTTAGAGTAAGTGTGTGCCGGTCGATGGAGTAATAAACAGGGAGAAAAACCACGACGGAGAGATTGCATCTAACGCAGTACGTCTTAACAGTATGAGACAACAAACGTAGCACGTTAAGGATAATATTCATAATAATGGGCCGAACACTGCTGGAAAACTTCGAAGTTTACAAAATGCCTTGTACGTGCATTTTCTTAGTATCGCCGCGGTTAAACGATCGGGTATTATCGACTTGCGGAGTTTTTTTTCTGTTAATTAGTTTTTTGGTAGTTAGTATTCATCTTCACACTGGCAACAGGCAGATGCAGTGAAAGGAGGCCGTTTGATATCTGTCCCCAGTATCCGCAAATGGCTCACATTCAAGAACGGTTGAAGGCTGCATGTTTAACTGTCAAACAAAACGAGGCAGGCCTGCATTTACTGCGTTGCAGGGTGTTTATGCGCTCAGGGATCAGAGAGGAACAACGTTGTTGCCAGTGTCCCCAATAATAATAATAATAGTAGTAACTTTTTAGATTGCTTTGTCGTATCGGTTTTTGTTCTCTAGTACAACTAATGGTGCTGGCCCAATTTTTCTGCTGGAATTTTTGCGGTCAATCTCAGTGGTGATTTCTCTCGAATTTGATGATAGACGCGCACGTCATTTTGGCCCGATGGTTATCACAGATAGGGTAGCCATTGTAATAAATAAAGGTATTCGGAAACCAAAATTCAACAACTGCAAATTTAGGTATCATCCGAATTTTCTATTTTTCAGTATTTTTTTTCTTTTAAAGGTTATGGCTTTTTTTAAAGGTTGTTGCTAAAGAAAAAAAAAGTACGGTCGTACTACAACAGCAATGTAGGTATGTAAAATGCATGATACAGCATGTGTTCGTCAACTTTAAAAATATATTCTCATAAGTAACTTATTCTATCCAACGTTATTTAAATCCGTTCTCAAAATTGTGTGTTCGGTTCCAAACTTTCTGAATCATTAACTTTCATTATTAACCTTTATTTGTGAACAAATAATTTAAAATCAGCGATATCAGTGAGTTATGTATGCATATTGCGACCTCCTTTATATTTTTCGGCTCCATCCTGTTGATGCATCCAACAATTTTGAATGAGCTCCTGTGCTGTTTTTCATTTTTACTTACTACATTTTCTTCTAATATATTTACTACATTTAGCAATTCTTTTACTATATCCTTGCTACAATAATTGAACTGGAAACTATTTTAGACATTGGTAGAAAGCATTTGTTACTGACTTGGGTTTTTCTTAGTTTAAACTTCTTTCAGAAATAGCCCAATTTGTAATATGAGAGGTTTATTTTTACGTTATCTAAATCAACTTCGTTTATATTGAGTAGTGTTTTGAATACTATTTTGTTACTTTTTTTTGAGGAAGATAACAGCAGGAAAAAAACACTAAAAACCAGCTTTCTTACTAAAAGCCTTTGTGAGATGATGCGGCATTCACGGTCTTTAAGTGTAAATTGCAAAACGTCGAGTCACAATTTCTAGCAACAGTATTCAATTAATTTCTTCATTATTTAATAATATGCAAAAAATAAACCATGAATTATAGCGGCAAGGCTGAATTATTTTTATATTGTTAAGATATTAGACACCAAATACCGGGGTCGATATATTTTTTTTAATTGAAACCCGAAAAATGAAACTTATCGACATGAGGATTTATCAGGAATGCCTTTAAACGAAAAGTTTGACTAAGCAAGTCGAACCAACTAAAAAAAATATGAAAGCCGATGGATCCGTTCCAAGATGGCCTCGAACGATATATA